ACTTGCGAGTAGCAAACCATTTTCAAAACAAGCATGAAATGTTTTGTTCTAATTTAGGCGATTTGGTCTATACTTGTTTGTTGTGCGCATAACATAGTAATTCTATGCTAACAAATGGAATAAGAACACATAACGTTTTCAAAAACGGATATCACGGTTAGTAAAGGCCGATCTTCGGATCGTGCGAGAGGGGGTGCTTATAGCTGACCTTCCCCAATCGTACCCAAGCTCCCGAGCCGAGGCAACTTTGGTGATGACGGACACGTGGCCTTTGGCACCGAGTCAAGGTTTCCTAAATTCTCCATAAAAAATATTTAGGTGGCGACTCTGTATCTGGCAAAGCAGCCCATGTTTGGCACTTCTTTTAAAAAATCTGTTTCTCAAAACGATTTGCCAGATTTGGACTCTTTGGTTCAGATTAAGAACCGTGACAATTTGAGAGTCCTGAACTGTAGTAAACCCGCAAAACGAACAGAACGAGACTCATCCTCCCGGCGCGTTCAGGGACGTCTATAGCTGCAAACAAACTTTGCTTACATATGGTTTCATGGTGGATTTGTCTGTGGTTGCCTTGGGGTGTGCAAACACAAACACAAAATACAAACTCTTAGAAACACAAAAATATATTGGCCAAAACTGTCTAACCCAAATATTGGCCAAAAATTGCCAACTATCAAACAACAAACTAAGATGAACAAAGGAACTAAGATGAACAAAAATTAGAACAAAATTGACAAAAAGATGAACAAACTAAGATGAACAAAATTAGAAAGTGTGATCTCTTTAATTGAATTAATGTTTGGCTTGCTAGAGAGGTGATATTTCTGTATCACCAAAAGAGAGGTGATATTGCTTTGTTTAACATGTTATTCATCAAGGTGAGTTGCAAAGGTGGTGTTGGGTGCAAGGTGAGGAAAGGTCGTGATTTTCATGTAAATATTTTATGAAAATGATTAGATTTAAATGTGTTTTTGAATGATTTTTTATTTCAAAAATATTAAAATGGGTTTCTGAAGGGGTTTGTTTAACTACCAGGTTGATTTTTTATTTTCACTTTATTCTAAGTTGTTAAGCTCATACTAAGTTGTTTTGCTACAGCTCTTTGGCCCCTGAAAAAACTTTAAAACACAAAAAAAAGCTTAGAAACCCTTAGAAGCACAAACATTTGGGGTATGCAAACACAAACACAAACACAAACACAAAATACAAACATTTGGGGTATGCAAACCCTTAGAAACCCTTGAGTTATGCAAACACAAACACAAAATACAAACCCTTACAAACACAAAAAAAGATAAAAACAAAGACACAAAATATTGGCCAAAAGTGTCTGTCCCAAATATTGGCCAAAAACTGTCACCAAAATATTTGATTTATTGATTAAGATGAACAAAGAAAATAAAGCTTTCTTGTAATTACCTAAACAAAGCTTTCTTTTCAATAAAGCTTTCAAACTAAACAAAGCACACCATCATTGTTGTTGTGGGTCTCAAATTTAATTATCACACAATTGCTATTTAAATATGATCCAGATGTTCAAATATAATGCATATGGTTTTATTATAACTAAAAGTGGCTTAGCTTTCTACTTGGGCAGATGTTCAAAACCCATTTCAGATCAAGTAACCATACAACAAACTAATTTTAAATTAAAACCCATTTCCCATTAAAGCATCAAACCCATTTCATAAATCAAAACCATGTGAGAATGTTGAGAATGTAATCCACCTTAAGCAGATGTTTAACTTTGATGTAGATTTAGACTATTGGAAGAATTGTATCTTAGGCAAATCATTTGTGGAGGGGGTGTAAAAATATTGGCCAAAATATTTGTTTTTTTTTTTAATTTACTGGATTAATGGACTTTTTTTCAATTATAAACGAATATTATTTTATTCTCTCATAATCCCCTCATTTTCAAAATAGAGGCATTTATATATAAAAATTATAAAATAATATTTATTTTATTAATTAAAAAATCTTAGTGTAAATAACTTAAAAATTATTAACATGATATTATTTGGTGTTGACGGTACATTGTTTGCTGAATATTGGAAGTAAACACAATGTTTGGTGTTGACGGTACATTGTTTGCTGAATATTGGAAGTAAACACAATGTTTGGTGTTGACGGTACATTGTTTGCTGAATATTGGAAGTAAACAATCAAATTCGGATGATTGTGCGTAATCTCCAGCCCAAGCTTATGCAGAAGATGATCGTTCTCCCCTTCCCTACCTTTTCAGATTTACATGAGATGGGAGTACAGATCGAGGACACAATGAAACAGGGCCTTCTTGACTAGGAGAAAGAGCAGCCTAGGCGGGCATTTTCCCGCAATTCGAATGCGACCACCAGTGGTGATGCGGCCGCAAGATCTTCTGAAGTGGGCATGGTCACCACCTCCGCATCAAAAAACAGCTACCCCATTCACCGGTGAGTCCAGAAGTAGCTCACAAGAAACCAAATATCCACCTCGAGTCAAGAGGGTTTTCACCCCACTTCATATGCCTTTGTCAAAGGCTCTAGAGGTCTTAATCCAGAAAGGACATCTGAAACCATTGGAACAACGGCCCTTACCCAATCCTCTCCCTCTAAAGCATGACCAGACTAAATACTGTGCCTACTATCAACAAACCGGTCATGACGCCGACAGTTGCTTTCGTCTGCGCCATGAGGTACAAGATCTGTTTGACAACGGGGTCGTTACCGCACCAGGTCCTGCAAAGTCTATCGGCACTTGATCAGTGAACTTGTGGGGGATAATGTGATTATGTGATCGGGAGATGAACCAGCTGCGGGTGGCGCTCGATTTACTCCAGATGTGGCGTATGACACGCACTGTTTTGAGCATTTGCAAATGCCAGTTTTTGACTTGGGTATTTAGGTCAGTTTTGTTGTGTGGTTTTAAGTCTGTCTCTTTGTTTTGAGTCAGTCCTGTTGTACAGAAGTCGGGTGATTCCGGGGGTGTTACTTCGGATATCACTATTTTGTTTTGTGTTTGTCCTTTTGTTTTCTTTTGAGTCTGTTTCTGCCGGGGAGCCAGTTGTGCCAACAGATCTGAATGAAACAGCAGTGATTTTCATACCCTTGTGTTTGCTTCTGCCTTACGCCAGTTGTGCCAAAAATTTTGAATGAAACGGTAGTACTTTTTGCCTGCTCTTCTGTGCCTTGAAATCATTGTATTGACCTAAGTTTTTCAAAACTTTTTTAACACCGTGGTGATGAAAACGAAGAGGAAGGAATTCCTCGGGTTTTGCAAAAATTTGATCATTTGAGAGAAAGAGAGGCATGCTAAGCCTTTAATGGTCGAGATCATGCTTGTTAATGTGAGTACTGAGAAGGATCCTGGCTTGATCCAGATTGGTCCCACATTGTCTTCAGCGCGAGCGACTAGTTGTTTTCTTAAAAGATTTCAAAAAAATGTTTTGCGCGATCCTGCGAAAACCTGTGTGGAATCGCTCTTGAGATTGTGCAGCCTAGGATCGCTCTCAGCCTCAAGACTCGACCCCTCATTGTCAAAACTCGGACTTAAGTTCAGAAATGTTCAATGGTCAACTACAACGTGAGGCTTGTGTGGCCAGATTCAAAGCAGCCCTCGAACAAGAGGCAAGAAAGTCAGATCAAGAAGATCAGATGTCATCAAAAGAAGCTTGCAAAGCTAGATCAGAAGCACCCTTCGAACTAGGGGCAAAGGATTTCAAATGTGCTCGAGGAGGCGAAGATGGATCATTCCACAAATCAAAGAAGGTCGGCAAGAATGCCAAATCCCAGAAGGGAGCAAAGAAGACAGTTTCTGCTGAAGAACAACTGAGTTCCTATCCGCAACACTAAGGACAAATTCAACCCCCTATTGTATGGACTCCTGCATCGTCAACGAACAACAACCATTTTCCTGGACTCAGATGACTTCAGGATCTCAAAACCATTTGACATGGACTTGTTACACTTTTACCCTTTGAGAGGCTCGCTGGGCCGAAAACCTGGAAGGGCAACCCAGGCAAAAGTTAGAGCAAGAGAAAAATACAAAAAAAAGAATGCAAAAAAAAGAAGACAAAAAAAATGAAGAAAATAAAAAGAAAAGATGAAAAAAAAAAATACAAAAGAAATGAAAAAGAAAAGAAAAATAGAGCTCACAAGGTTGAAAACCCGGAAGGGCGGCCTTGGCAAAAGCTAGAGCGCAAAAGGAGAGGTTAATACCTGAGTGTACCTTAACCCCGAACTACGCGAGGCTTGATTCCTATCTTTGGGATACGTAGGCAACTTCATTCTGAAGTCCAACCATAAAACACTTCGAATTCGACTATGTCCATGTAATGGTTTTGACCATCATTGACTTTTTTGCATCCGAGAATTTGGTTGTGTTCGTCACCTGAGGACTGACTATAATGCGCTGTGGTGCCATTCAAACAAGGGGCAACTTTTCGTTGCCATTCAATGCACTGGGGTGCCGTTCAAACAAGGGGCAACTTTCCGTTGCCATGCAGCTCTCTTCAAGTAAGGGGCAATTTTCCTTCGAATCTGAGGTTGTGCATCTCGAGAGTGGGTTCTATGCTCGTTGAGCAGTGGCCGTTTGCAAAAACAGCTTTTGAGAATTTTTACTGAGGTTGACTAATTCTCTCGAAAATTATTCCATTTTTCTAAAACTGAACCATTTCTTGGACCTAAAACAGGAAAATTTTCAATGCTCACAGCCTGACTTGCATGATTTTAAATCAAAAAATCGAACAAACATGTTAATCTAACTCTTATGTTGGTCAAAATTGTTTTAGTAGAAAGCCAAAACAAAAAAATGGTCAAAATAATGAACTAGGGGCACAATTGAGTCAAGCTTCCTGTCTTTTCCCTGTTGTCAATACATTTGCCAGAAAGGGCACCATACTTTCCAAGAAGGGCACTCTCCCTGCCAGAAAGGGCAGGGTGATTCCGGGGGAGTTACTTCGGATATCACTATTTTGTTTTGTGTTTGTCCTTTTATTTTCTTTTTGTTTATTGCTATTTTTTGGGTTAACTTTGTTTTCACGGCTTCCCTTATTATTGATTGATGACTGGTGTTCATGGAGGAATGATTCTGGCAGAGAATTGTCATATCAGCCCTGAATGCATCATTGTCTCGGAAACGGTGCCAATGAGTCGTTTAGCAAATGGAGAAGCGGAGCACAATCTTCACAATCAAAGAGATCAAAGTCTATGTCAAGGCTATAGTGGAAGAAATGGAAATGTGGGCTCTGTTGTAATCAGTTCTACTACTAATCATGATGGAAATTATGGGGAAGAAAGAGCATCAAGAATATCTGTCAGAGATACTGCAGACAACATGAATGGGAACATGCAGCCAGATGTTATATCTGTATGTAGGGATAAAACTAGTTCAAAATTTTATTTTATTTTTCTTATAACATTGGCCTGCTTGAGAATATGAATTTATCTGTTTGCCATGTTATTTAACTGCAGAAAAAAGCAAGACAGCAGAAAGAAATGACTTTAGAGGATATGTACAATAATCAATATGATTTTGACGACGACGATGATGATAGTGACTGGGAGCCCTCCCAAAAACTTACAACAGTTGTAAAGTGGTTTTGTGTCAATTGTACAATGGTTAATCTAGATGATGTTGTCCATTGTGATGTACGGTTTACATTGTCAACTTCTTTCTTGTTGCTTCGTGCTTAATCTTTAATTTTTCTTCTTTCTTATTTTTTCTTTTTTTGCTGAATGATAACATTTTCATTTATAGGTTGTGAATTTGTAACTCAATTAACTGTTTCTTAATGGACGTGTGATTGTCTATAGTTGATCTGAGGCAATCTCCTCTATATGCAGATATGTGGAGAACATAAAGAATCAGGAATTGTTAAGCATGGATTTTTTGCATCTCCTTTCTTGAAAGAAGCAGGTCTTACTCAGAATGAGTCGGAAATAGAACAATACAAAGGTAGTTACATGTAGTTGGCTATTTGATTTGTGTCATATTGCTACCTGTCACTGACATTAATGTGAGAAAGTTTTTGTTAAGGAGCTTCTGGTCAGACCATTTTGTCTTTTGGCTATCTGATACTAAATACGCCTAGTATTGTTTTTGGAAAGAAGCCTAGCCAATGTATTTCTGTTGAATGGTTATTTATGTAGTCTATAAAGTCGGGGGAATTTATGTTTTATATTTTTTAGCTAAAGATTTATTTCTAAATGTAGTTTTTGATTGAATCATTATAAATTTGAATATATTTATATCTATGTATATTGTAACTAATCATATTAGGAGTATTAATAACTGAGGTTCTTGTGAGTAGGAAGGAGGTCACAAAAAATGGTAAAGTGCGTTGTATCATCATTTGTTTATTGAGTTCAATGAATGATGGCTTAAACTAGATTCTTTCTGCTTGGAAGATTGGCAGAACTTGTCAAATTGGAATTTTCATCAGTTTCTAGTTGTATGCATGCTAACCTGGGGATTTCCAAGGAATAAAATATTCAAGTCTAGAATCTGTTGGAAAAAAAAAGGAAGTCGCGAAAATGGAGTTTTTCTGAGGATCACTCTGGAAAAATGTACTGATTATAGAGATGGAAATTCTTGCAATAGTTGATTTTCAAAGTAGTATAATAATTGATGAGTTTGCTTGCATATCTCTTAATTAGCATTATTGGCATTGCTCGTAATGTAGGATTTCATTAAATATTGGAGTGTCTCCCAATTATCATCTCCCAATAATTAATGAAACTAACATTACTTTGAATCTCATGATTATGCATGATTCACTGATTGAAGGGCAATATAGTTTCTGGAAGCAAAAAATATTTCTAGTTTAGGATATCTCTTAGATTAAGGATTGATGCATGGTGAAGGGAACAATTTCATGGAAATTTTGAGAATAATCAGTTTCTTAATTGCCTCACTAAATCACAAAGATCTAGCAGAATTAATGCTTTTTTAGTCAGTAATAGCGTACCTCCTGGGATTGAGACAAGTCGTACTAATTATGTTGTTGAAGCATTTGTGGTGACCTTTTACCTACCTAATGTCTTTGACATGGAGATTTTTGAATTTTGCTTTGATAGATAGAAGGAATAATGCTAGAACCACCAAGGGGGCTTAATAATAATTTTGTTTAATTTCAAGGTGTTAGCATTTTGATGAAATAACATTGTATTTTTTAGTAAGGTAAATGAAATAATAATGTTTAATCATATTATCGTGCTCGTTAAACTGTTGGGTTTGGTAATAAGATAGTGCATTTTTTCTGCCACTGTCCTCAAATTTCTTCTTTGTGTAGATTCATGCTCGCGATTTTTGGTGTCGGACAATTCTACTGCTATTGGATTTGATGAGAGAATGTTGCTTCACTCAGAAGTATGTGCTGCTTTCCTGCATTTAATTTTTTGAAATTTCCTTTTGAACTTCTTTAGTATACTTATCCAAAACAAGAAGTAAACAACGCTTTTATTTTACAAATAGAGAACCAAATATAAGGAGAAGCAAACAACCAAATAAAGAAGAATAAACCAAAAAGGAACCGAATACCAAATGCCAATGGAGAGATTTGAACCGAAGAACTCTCTTAACTTGAGCTCTGATATCATGTTAAGTCACCAATTGTTCGAGAAGTAAGTTGCTAGGCAATGGGCCCAACAATGTAATATATCAAAAGCTATCCAACCCACGTAAAGGGTAAACAAGAGCATTATTTTTATATATTGAACGGAAATATAACAGCCGAGATTTCAGAGATACGGTGATTTTTTTGGAATATAATGGAAAATAACTAAAAGCAGTGGATGAATAAAATATTCAAATAACAGTTTCTGTGAAAAATGATGGCCAATATTTTGGATATCAATTTGTTTGGTAATTTCGATATTTAAGCCTTGCTTCACACTGTTTGTCTGAGTCTTCGGCTTTGTCAAAAATGGGTCGTCTCTGGGCTTTGACATTCACTCCCGTCACTTATGACTTCCGAGTTCTGTCAAAGAGGGGCAACTGTAGACACCCCATTTTTGACCGACCTTAAGACTCAGACGTCACTGATTGAGCGCTCGGTGATATTGCATATTGTGCTCGTTCAGAAGTTTCAGAGTCCCGGCTGCAAGCCTTGCCTCCGGACTTCCGGACTCTTTTGCGCCTTGCCTCGGTTTGCGAACCAGGCTCTGTTTTCTCTTGCCGAAGGGAGGGAGAGGTCTCGTAGACCATCTCTCAGTGGCCGTAGGCTACGTTTTGTGGTTGTGGGCCATTTTTCCCGTTTGGAGCCCGGTTTTCGATTTTTCGGAGCCGTCGGCCGTGTGCCTCGGTTCGGGACTGCCTAACCACCTCCGTTTGCTCTGGTTTTTGGTATACACCTTATTTCCTCCCTTTTGAGTGACACTGTGGCTCAAGAGACCAACTTCGTGGTCAAATGCCACCTCCGGTGTTTAACAACCCATTTTTGGGGCCCCGGGCCGCGCGTTTCGGTCCCTGAACCTCCGTTTTGCATCCGTTTTGGTTCATTTTTGATGGAGACCTTATTTTCATTGTTAGAAAGCTTATAGGATGGTGGGAGGCCAGCAATTGTTCTGAAAAGCCAGCTTTATTTCTTCATCGCTCTCCGTCGCCTGTTCTCCTCACTAAAAAGCTAATGTTGACCACTCCCAGGCCACTTTCTTTAGCCCTAAACCCCATATTTGTGTTGTACACACCTGGGAGGCCACCAATATGTATAGGCCGGCCAGTAATTGTCCTTGACCCTTTTGAACCCCTCTAAAAAGTTGGCTTTTCTCTTTCCTGGTTCACATTTTCTGGGTTTTGACCACATATTTGTGTTGTGCACATGAGAGGCCACCTTTTTGGGGTGGTCGGCCAGCAATCTTCATTGACCCTTTTGACCCCTGGCCGGCCAGCTATGGGGGTGGCCGGCCGGCCACCTGAACCTTTTGAACCTAGCTGGCCATGATCCTTTCTCCAAGTACATTCCAGCTGTACCCTCTGTTTTTCCCTAGATTTTGTATCCGGGGGCTGCCTTTGGGGGGGAAATTTGAATTTGTTTTCCCCCCCCTTTCCTTACCTCTCTCCCTATATAAAACCAGCACCACATCTCCATTTTGAAGGGTTGACAAAACCAGCTGGGGCATTGCATACAACTCTCCCTCTCCCTCTCTTCCAAACCCTTCAAACCCTAAGGTTCTTGCCCCCTTTACATTACCACTCATAGCACCACACCTCCACCCTCCATTCCAGCCCTTTGAAGCTTATTTCCAGAGGCTAGGAGCACCATTTCTTGGACCAAAAGTTGTTGAAGACTTAGGCTACAAGGGTAAGTCTCTTTTCCCTATTTTTTAGCTCTATTTTGCATGCTTTCTTAGCCTTTGTTTCTTGAAGTTTTGGGCTCCGACCCAAACTGGAAATAGTCATATTTTGAGCTCCTTTTCATGTTTGATCAAGGACCTCTTGCTGTTTGAGGTTTCCTACTGCCACTTGCCTCTTTATCTCTTTTTTAGGCCTATTTTTGTATGGTATTTTAGTCTTATTTGTGAGCTGTTTTGGACTTGGTCATAAACTGGAAAAGGTTTTTTTTTGAGCCCCTCTTCAACTTTGTTGAAGGGCTCTCCTCTGTTTGAGGCCAGCTGCTACCACTTGTCTCTTTATCCCTCTCTTAGGCCTTTTTCTTGCATGTTGTTTTAGCCTCACTTGTGTTTATTTTCGAGACTTGATATAAACTGTAAAGTGCCTTCTTTTGAGTCTCTCTTCAACTTTGTTGAAGGGCTCTTTGCTATTTGGGGCCAGCTGCTGTCCCTTGTCTCTTAGTCGAAAACCAAAACAAAAAAAATTGGTCAAAATGATGAACTAGGGGCACAGTTGAGTCAGGCTTCCTGTCTTTTCCCCGTTGCCAATGCCTTTGCCAGAAAGGGCACCATACTTGCCAAGAAGGGCACTCTCCCTGCCAGAAAGGGCACAACTGAAACTGTCAACAAAAGAGCTAAAAGCTCTATCATCCTCCAAGCAACGAGGTATCAAGCCAAGTGCGAAGCACGAACTGGAATGGATCGAGATATCCCACTCCCTCATCTAGACAGATCTAACCACGTCCAAACTCCCTGGCAGAGCATCGATAGCCGATGTCAACTGCAGATTCGCTACACGCTTAGTTGCAGCGCAACCCCTCTGTGGGAGGAACTCACTAGTTGTGTGCAGAAAAAGAAGAATCTAGCTGAGTGCTAGGGACAAGAGCCCACAACTTTTGTTTGTCCATCAACCACCCTGGGGAGGGATAAAAACGAGAGAATAAAGAATAGAGAGATGTACGATGAGAGAAAAGTGAGAAAAGGGTTTTGTGAGAAAAATCGAGCTTGAAGGCTGAGTGATGTGAGAATCACAAATGAGAAAGGGTGGGAAACAATACCCAGAAAAACAGGCTCCCTGTGCGCGTCTGAGTGTCGTATCTTTTTGTTTTACCTCGATTCTTGTCTTGAGTCATTTTTTTTTTTGAGTGTCTGTATTTGTGTTTAGGTTGTTTACCTTTTGTTTTCCGTTGTTGAGTCGTAGTGCGCTGTGTTCAGTCGTAGGCTCAATACCCGGTCGAGAACTCATTTATCAATTTCAAAATAAAATCGTTTTGCGCTCCGATTGCCGTGCCGTTCTCCACATCTGTGCAAAATAAGATTCGTTCTTTCATAAAACCGGAGATCCTCTCCCAGGTCATGTCAGAGCAGTAAAACCAGGACCTATTTGAAGCTATATGGGTTCCAGACTGCAAAGCAAAAGAAAAGAGGAAATGTCGGGTATCTGAGTTTTTTTCAACTTCATTTGATCCTGAGACTACATTCCGTGTGTACCTCTTCAGGTCTTGCCAATGCTCCGAAGTATGAGTGTGCCTCTACCTCAAGCTCAAGATCAAGTCTGCTTCAAGTTACAATGGCGATCAAAAGTGCTCTCCCTGAGTACCATTCCCTACCAGAGGCATCTTGGCTGTATTCGCAATGAGTTCCTAGGAGACCAACTGCGACGGTGGAAACTAGAGTTCGAATGGCGGTTGCCTAGAATGCAAAGGTTCGGGATTTCCAAGACTAAAGTCTGGTTTAAATACCCAGGGGTGTATCTCCGACTTGAAATCTGTATGGAAGCCCCATGGGTTGAGATAGCGTGTATGCACCTCAATTCTGGATACTGAACCAACCTAGTCTGTCACCCCGTTGGAGAATAGGGAAAGTTGTGAATATGATCAGGAAGAAAGGCAACATCCAAAGTGTTCTACGTGAAGAACCCTTGTCAAC